AGTGAGAAGAAAAAAAAGTCACACATGATTCATGATTCTGCAAAAAACAACAACAAAAAGAATTGGCGAACTCGCTAATTTTCATAGAGAGCAGCGCGTCGTTCTTTTTGTAGGTTATGTTTGCGCTTTGCCTAGTTTTCAACGCACTAGTTGGGCAAAAAAAAAAAAAAAAACGCTTAAGAAAAAAGAAATTGCTTAAACTTTTTTCATTCGTTTTTTTCTTCGGCGCTTTTTGCTATTCCCGCTCGCTTTTTGGTTCTCGCTATAAAGTGTGCGAGCGAGACGACTAGCGTGTGCGCTGACTGTAATTGTTTTTGCACTGCGCTTTGTGTGCACATTCGCTATTGTTTTACTTTGTGAGCAAGCAATCAGCAATGCACATCGGAGTTATTCGAATGTATTTAAGCAACATTAATCACATGCCGTGTAATTAAATATTACATTTCTTTTAGCTTTTATCTAAGTCTATTTTCCAATCGACTCGCGCATTAACAGCTATTTATGCGCTTGCAGAGCGTTGCCACATTGCACACAAATTAACAACTGTTATGCATATATCGCAATAAGAGCTTTCGTATAAACAGGTCACGACAATAGCGTCGTCGACCGTTCGTTGCTCCCCACACTCCCCTTTTGCGCCCTGCATCCCCTGTCAAAGAGTCAGCGACTTCAGTTGAATTTCACAATATTTTTTGCGTTCGCTGAACTTTTCCCATTTTGCTAATCTTCTTTATTCGTTGTCTTCTTCTACTACCTCCTGCAGCTCAACGACTTGGCTTCGCAATTCTATCTGACCAAGTCGGACATTGGCAAGAACCGTGCCGATGCCTCATGCGCCCAGCTGGCGGAGCTGAACAGCTATGTGCGCACCCACTCATACACTGGCGCTCTGACGGATGAGTTTCTCAGCCAGTTCCGTGTCATCGTCCTGACCAATTCGGATGCCGCCGAGCAGCAGCGCATCGGCCAGTTTGCCCATGCGAACAATATTGCTCTCATTATTGCCGAGACGCGCGGCCTGTTTGCCAAGGTGTTCTGTGACTTTGGCGACAAGTTCACCATTTACGATCAGGATGGCGCCCAGCCGGTGTCCACCATGATAGCCAGCATTACACACGATGCACAGGGCGTGGTTACCTGCCTGGATGAGACGCGTCATGGCTTCAACGATGGCGACTATGTCACCTTCTCAGAGGTGCAGGGCATGCACCAGCTGAACGGCTGCCAGCCCATCAAGATCAATGTGCTGGGTCCGTATACCTTTAGCATTGGTGACACCAGCAAATATGATGAATATAAGTCTGGCGGCGTGGCCACACAGGTGAAGATGCCCAAGACCATCAGCTTCAAGTCTCTGGCCGAGGCCGAGCAGGAGCCCGAGTTCTTGATCTCTGATTTTGCCAAGCTGGATGCGCCCGCCACACTGCATGTGGCCTTCAAAGCTCTGGACTGCTATTTGCAAAATAATCACGCCTTGCCTCGTCCCTGGAACAACGAGGATGCCGATAAGTTTTTGCAGCTGTGCAAGGGAATCAAGAGCGATATCGACGATCAGCTAGTGCTGCAGTTTGCCAAGATCTGTGCGGGCAACACCTGCCCGTTGGACGCCGCCATTGGTGGCATTGTTGCTCAGGAGGTGCTCAAAGCGTGCAGCGGTAAATTTACGCCCATCTTTCAGTGGTTCTACTATGATGCACTCGAGTGTCTGCCGGCCGAGGGTGTTACCGAGGAGGATGCACAGCCACTGGGCACACGCTATGATGCACAGATTGCCATATTTGGACGCAAGTTCCAGGAGCAGTTGGCCGATGCCAAATGGTTTATTGTCGGCGCTGGCGCCATTGGCTGTGAGCTGCTCAAGAACTTTGGCATGCTCGGACTGGGCGTTGGCAATGGCCAGATCTTTGTTACCGACATGGATCTCATTGAGAAATCAAATCTGAATCGTCAGTTTCTGTTCCGTCCGCACGATGTGCAGAAGCCGAAGGCGTTGACAGCTGCCGATGCCATCAAGCGCATGAATCCCGATGTCAAGGTGACGGCATATGAGCTGCGCGTCGGCGCCGAAACGGAGAAGGTATTCTCCGAGGACTTCTTTGGCAAGCTGCATGGTGTGGCCAATGCGTTGGACAATGTCGATGCACGCATCTATATGGATCGCAAATGCATCTTCAATCGCATACCGCTCGTCGAGACCGGCACCCTGGGCACCATGGGCAATGTGCAGGTGATTGTGCCATTTGCCACCGAATCGTACAGTTCGTCACAGGATCCGCCAGAGAAGAGCATACCCATTTGTACGCTTAAGAACTTTCCCAATGCCATTGAACATACCCTGCAATGGGCACGCGACTGCTTCGAGGGCGTCTTCAAGCAAATCGCCGAGAATGCTGCACAATACATCTCCGATCCGCAGTTCACCGAGCGCATCCTAAAGCTGCCTGGCATACAGCCACTGGAGATACTTGAGTCCATTAAGGTGAGTTGTAGACATCGGTTCTTTAACATTAACAATGAAAACCTGATTTAGCTAGTTATATGCTCAGATCTATGTGCTAAAAACTATTTTCCTATTTGATAAAACATAGGCATGTTCCCAAAGCTGTTTAATTTCTTATAAAAGAAATCGATATGTATCACGGTTTGCAGGCAAGATCGGAAATCGATTAAGATTTGTTTGACTACCAAAAGAATTTTATATGTATATTTGATATATTCTTTAATATTAAATATTTTAGATGCTCTAATGGTCCTTAAGTTATCCGCTTTCAGTAATATATTTTTAAATTATTTAAATAAATATCGAATACTATCTTAAGTTCTATCTAGAAGTCACCCATAAATTGTTGGATATGCATCTATTGCTTTCTGACAATTTCGAAACCGTCAGCTCTACATACTAAAAACTGATCGATACAAATTTAACTTTTCTTAAACACTAAAAAATAAAGAACTCTCAAATAATTTGGGTTTGAAGAACCCCCATTCTATAACGTTAAGCATTATGCACACTCATTTGCTTAAATTGGTCCCCTCTCTTTTTTAGAAAGCCCTGATCGATGACAAACCGAAAAGCTTTGCCCACTGCGTGGAATGGGCGCGTCTTCACTGGGAGGATCAGTATGCCAATCAAATCAAACAGCTGCTCTTCAATTTCCCACCCGAGCAGGTCACATCGAGCGGTCAGCCCTTCTGGTCTGGGCCCAAGCGCTGTCCCGAACCGCTTGTTTTCGATGTGAATGAACCGATGCATTTGGACTATATCTATGCGGCGGCCAATTTGCGTGCCGAGGTCTATGGCATACCCCAAGTGCGTGATCGCCAGAAAATTGCCGAGCTGGTGCAGCAGGTTAAGGTAAGGATTGGGGATAACAGCAAATCTATATAGGATTCAATCTCATGTACACAATTTTCTGTCTTAGGTGCCCGAATTTAAGCCACGTTCTGGCGTTAAGATTGAGACAAACGAGGCAGCCGCCGCTGCGGCAGCCAATAACTTTGATGATGGCGAGGTGGATCAGGATCGTGTGGACAAGATCATAACAGAGCTGCTGAAAAATGCGGATAAGAGCTCGAAGATAACGCCGCTGGAGTTCGAAAAGGATGATGATAACAATCTGCACATGGACTTTATTGTGGCCTGCTCCAATTTGCGTGCGACCAACTATAAAATCCCACCGGCCGATCGTCACAAGTCCAAGCTAATTGCTGGCAAGATTATACCGGCCATAGCCACCACTACCTCGGTGCTGTCCGGCCTGGCTGTGCTGGAGGTGATCAAACTGATTGCCGGTCATCGTGATTTGCCCAAGTTTAAGAATGCGTTTGCCAATTTGGCGCTGCCATTCCTGGCCTTCTCGGAGCCGCTGCCGGCGGCCAAGAACAAATACTACGACAAGGAATGGACACTGTGGGATCGTTTCGAGGTCACCGGCGAGATGTCGCTGCAGGAGTTCCTTAACTATTTCGACGATAGGGAGAAATTGAAGATCACAATGCTGTCGCAGGGCGTCTCAATGCTCTATTCATTCTTCATGCCCAAGGCCAAGTGCTCGGAGCGCCTGCCCCTGCCCATGTCCGAGGTGGTGCGACGTGTGTCCAAGCGGCGCATTGAGCCCTACGAGCGCTCCCTGGTGTTTGAGATATGCTGCAACGATGTCGATGGCGAGGATGTGGAGGTGCCCTATGTGCGTTACACGCTGCCCTAAGTCCCGGTGCAGCCGATATGCCACGCCCCCTAATCTTAATTGTAACAGTTAAATTATTATTTAAACAAAAGAGAAAATAACATTTTTTTTGGTCGTCGCGTTTGGAGTTGTGCGCCTGAAAGTTTACAGTGTGGAGCAGGTTTGCATTTTAAACAAAAAAAAAAAACAAAAACAAAACAAAACAAAATAGGAAAAACCAGAAAATGGCTAAAAACAACACACTCTCACCCACATCTCCCGCGCGCGCGCACACACACACACACACACACACAACCCACACACACGAACACAACTAATCGATATAGAAATTATATATTATATATGTATGTGTAATCCTATAAGGAAATGGCAAATATTGAATTCGCGTTACACGAAAATACAAAGACTCGACTTAAAAACTAAAAAAAAAAAAAAAATTTACAAAAGAGAAAAAACGAAACAATTAAAAATCAAATTTTGTGTCTGCTCATCATAGGTTAAAAATCGTTTAAATATGGAGCGCATTTCGTTTTTATTTTATTTGAAATTTGATATAAACTAAAAACAAAAAATTAAATTGTATTAAAGGCGAAGCAACTGAATAAAGCTGTATATTTCATATGCTAATCGAGTCTGGGTTAATTTCCCTCGCCTTAACTTCTTTTTTTTTTTTGCCATTTTGAAAACTAATTTCGTTTGGAACATCTTTTGCATAAAACCGCACACACAACCGCGCGACCACCCTTCTCCCGCCGCCGCCCCCCCCCCCCCCCCCCCCCCCCTCCCACCCAAGGAGCTTAAGCCAAATTGCTGCAAGCCCATCCATCTGCAGATGCAGCCCATCTCGCCCATCTTAACCCCGCTGCCATTATGTTTGTTGCACTCGCAGTCAGTTAGTAAAAAGTTACGTGACACAATTAAATATTTTATGCCCCAAGACGTTTATGCCGTGTCGGTGGCAGCGGCTGCCACTAAAGTGCAATTGGCAAGTGCCGCCCCCAGCACGCCTTGCCCCAGACCTAGCCGCCCCCTCGAAAGTTGTGTGTTATAATTAAATATTACACGCAATGCAACTGAAGTATAGCAAAGTTATGCAGCTTCTTTCTGCACTGCGGCCGGGCAAAGTTTTCCCTCAAATTATGCAGTTAATGAAACAAACTCCTGAGTGAAATACATATCGCGTGGGCATCACGTCGACCTGAAACTGGATACGCAACGCAGCAGCTGCTTATTTCACATGTACGTCATTTAATAGAAATAATATATAAAAACCCCGCCCATCATTTTTCACTTTAGCTAAAAGTTTCTTTATTTCAGGTAATTTGGCTGGAAGCTAACTTATCAAATTGACGGCGGCGCATAAGGTCCTTGCAATCCGTGTATTTCGTGTGATACGTGTAGAGCGAAGCAGCTATCAAAATCCTTGCAGGCAACATCCATTTGATTAAAGTAACAACATTTTGGGTGTATTTAGATTAACTGCGAAAGGGATTTCCAGCCACAAAGCCAACAGAAATCAAAAGGAATTAAATTGAATCTATGAGAAAACATCGCATACTCCGGTAAGATTTATAAAATAGTTGTCATTAAACTACATATAATTATTATATTATATTACAAAACAATCTTCAATAGCACTAAGGTACTATTCGACTAAGAAGAGGAATTTGAACTGGTAACCTTCTTGTTACTAGTTCAACTTGGACAACTTATGGACCACGACTTGCTTTTTATTATTGAAAACTTCTAAAAACCTCATAAAAGCCATCTGGAATAGCTCTCTATTAAACCTATAGATTAAATCTAAAAAAAAAAGCCCAACTATTTATGATAAGATTATTATAATGTGAAATAATCATATTATAGTATGTTTTATCATTTGTATCTAAAATACAATTATTCGTGATAATTAATTATAATATGATTATATCTGTCTATGATAAATAGAATACTCTCAAATTTGAGCTCTATTTGAATTTATGATAACTTAAGGAATTTTAGAATGGGTATTAAGGATTAAATACTTGATAAAAATTTGAAAAAGTTTATAAACTCAATATTATTATCCATATTTTATTACACATACCGAAGAGTTGGGTTTTTTGTTTTCAGGCATAATCGATAAACATATAGAATGCTAGCTGTCCATATAAAGCTCTTCTTGAGCTTATGATAACCTAAGGAACTTTTGAATTGGAATTTTGTAAGGATTAAATATACTAGTTTGAAAATTCTATAAACATAAAAATCACTCTTATTATGCACATTTTAAGCCGCATAAATAGTTAGATAATTTTTTATTATAATATAGTACAAGCTCTTCGTGACCAGCTCTATTCGAGTTTGTAATAATCCAAGCACTTTTTTATTTTTCAACTTTGTGCTTGGAATTTCTTAAATATTAAATGCTAGATTGAAATATAGCTCTGGGTTTTTATGCGACTACAGGACTAAAAGCCCATAAAGTGCGCTGCGTAAGATTTATTAGGTGCGGAAATCGATATAATCCACTTGTGAAAAATGGGTGTATTTCTCTGTAATATATTTCATATTATATTCACAGACATTTCATATGATTGTTCTCCAATAATTTATGCGAAAAACTTTCCATTCTCACGTATTTTAGCTCTTTGTGTCTTGGTCAATCCCATGCTCAATTCTGCGTAATATTACGAACCGGCAAAAGGCGTAATCTCGGAGCTTTGATGCATATCGCTCGGGGTTGTGCGTCAGCTTTTGTGATTTCGGGTTGAGTCATTGGAACTTGGCACAGTGTGTTGACGGGAAAGCACCCAAGCATGGCTTTCGAAAATTCGAAATTTCGCACAGAAAAGTTAACGGCAACGAAATCAGCTTATTGTACAAGCGACCGGCTGTCAGAACTGAGTGCGAATTATAATATTAACTGGAATTTCGCAGATAAGCTTACGTTGGAATTTGTGGAACATAATCGAATGGGTTATTTCTGATGCGTAAAGCGCATTTTTTAATAACACAAATTGGCATCAAATATGTATTATCTTATTAATTACGCCATTAACAATTATATTTAATGCGATGATACATTTAAAAGAGCATTTCAAATTCCCCATTATATGACTAAATACGTGTCTTTTGTGTGTTCCGCTTCTTTGTTGTTGTTGTTGTTGTTGTTGTTGTTGTTGTTATTGTTGTTTCATGACATTTTTTACGTATATCCGGTGACGTTGCAAACCTGTTAGCTAAAATCAAAAGAAAAAACTCGAGTTCTGCATTCGGGTCTATGCGAACTGCAGACACCCTGTACTCAGCGCCGAGCTACGTTTAAATTTCAAAAATTTCTCTCGCTCTTATAGGTTCTAAGATCCTTGCAAATGTACAGATGGACATGGCTAGATCGACTCGGCTTTTGATACTGACCAAGAATATATATATACTTTATAGGGTCAGAGGTGTTAAAAGCATTTGCCAAAAGCCATATACCCTTTTAAGGCATGGTTTTCATGGTTACAGGGTATAAAGAGTACAAAATAAATGTTAAATAAAAGTAACTTTTTTTCTGGTCGTTATGTTGGCAATTTGAATATTTTTCATATCTCACATTTGTTTTGTTGTTTAATTAATTAAATTCAATAAATTTTCACTCGCTTGTGACACTTTTGGTGATAATGAGGCGAAGCGGCAAAAACGCCAACATCGATCGAATCTGATTAATGGAACATTCTCCATTTAAATCGTCAAGGTGGACGCCAACCAGCTGATGGACACGGACACGGACATGGACATGGACACGGACCCGGGTGCATTGCACGGCGCTCGATTGGTCCAAGGGGAACTTGCAGCAATTGCAATTGTTATGACAACGAATTTGTTGTTGCTTTATTCAGTTTTTGTTGTTTCTGTAAATATTAATTGCACAGATAGCCAATTGGGGGCCATGTGAAGGCCGCTGCTTACAATTAGGCCGGCATTTCCTGTCTCCACATAAAATAAAACTTTTACATGCAGCTTGTTTCGATGAGACATTTGAATAATATTCAAGTCCGACATCCGCTGCCAAATTCATGCCAACAGCATGTTCAAATGTGGGAGTAGACACTAAATGGTTTTTTTTTTACAAGTATTTTATTCACCTGTTAAGTGATCCACCTGTAAAAGCTGGACGTATCTGTGCAGTGCAGCTAAACTCATAATTCGAATATATTATTTAATAAATTATTTCTGTAAAACGTTTAAAAGGTTTTTAAAGCAGTTTTATTGCTATGAGATTATATTTCTTATGGAAATATAAATTCTGAAATTAATATAAACTCATGATTTAAAGCTCTTTTTGTTAAATTACTTTCTCTGCAGAAGAATATTTCTTAGCTAAAGTCGATTTATGTCTATAAAGAAGTTTAAATATGTTTCATAATTGTTGACAAATTAAGATAAAAATTGATATTTAACCAGACAACAGCAATCGAGTAGAAGGCTCCTGGAATAGCTGAACCAAAATATTTTGGTGGGCTATAATTTATTTGTTTATTATATTAAAATATTGAATAAGCTGGCTCTTTAAAAATAAAAATAAAAATAAAAGGTCGCCAAAGCCAGCATTAAATATTAAATATATTTTTTATATAAATTATTTTATTAGCATTCTTATTCATAGACGAAGCTCAAGCAAGCTAAATTTAAATTGATTATTATATTTTAATATATTATATTAATTATCATTATAATATAATATTATAATTTTTATAATAAATATAAAACAACATTATTCTCGTGCCGTCTGGACTTACATAAGTATTTTTTAAATAAAATATTAAAATATTACTAAATAATATTATTAAATAATATTACAAAAATATCTAATGAAAATTATGAAAGTTGGAATCTTAAGCAGATTTTGAGTAATAATTTAAAATTGATATAGGAATAATATTGATAAAGGTATAAAACTAAAAATTTCTTATAAATGTAGTTTAAGTAAATGTCCGACTTACAGAGTTTATCATCTTAGTTTCGCACAGGGTATTTTGAGGTCCATCAACTAGCAATTGAGAGCACACATATTGGACAATTAATGGCAGTTAGCACAAATTTCGAAATAGTTTTTGATTTCCTGCCTCGTTTTGGACACCGTGTCGTCTGTGGAAGTGGAACGTGTTCGATTTTGCGCACCTCTAAAAATATGAATATAGATATATATACATATATATACTTATGCATATATGGCGACATGTAAATCGCATGTACACGCGGCCAGAGTCCATTTACGAAAGAGATCGTATGTAAATATTTAAATTGAGTCATTAAAAAAAAAACTCATTGCACAATGGAAAGCGGCGACAGGAACAACAGCTTATTAGACATTATCCATATCGGCCAGACGGCGACGTCCGTGCGTCGCCTCGCTCGGATCTATATAGTATAGTGCATAAGCGATCTCTACTTGGCACACGCTGCGGACCATAATTGATTTATGTCACGAACTTGCCACAGACGTTCAAAGCTACAAGATATAATGTATTTATCAACTGCAATTAATGTGAGAACGCAATATACATATAAAAAATAAATAAATATGCTTATATAAAGGAAAAACAACGTACAGATAATGCCCACTGAGTCATTGACATCGGCGTATGCTAACCTTAGCCCCCGACCAAATGCATCTCTTTTCTTCATATGCGCACTATCAATGCGTATGAAAACAAGAAAGAATATGACATATGCTCGGCACACCGAAGCCCAAATATCCTTAGGGTACTTTAAAAACAGAAAACTTATCCATAAAAATACTCATTTGGGAATGTTGAGTATTTCCTATAAAGCTCTATGATATAAGTAGTAAGCCTTAAAGCCTTAAGAGTCTTAAATGTCAAGTTTTTTTTAGATATATCGAAAGGCAAATACTTCTCCGATTATTCCTATAGCAGCTATACGATATGACGATTCAATCCGGCCGATTTCAACCTGCAGCAGAGGAACATGGCTATAAGGAACAAGAATAAATATAGCCATGATATAGACTATATATACTTTATGTTGCATGCCAAAATCATAATACCCTCGACAAGCGTATGAAAATGCAATAAATATAACATTATTATAAGGCACATAAATCTTATATGAAGCGGATGTGATGACATCCGCATATGCGTCTATACTGGCCCGATACCGAGAACCACTTTATCGATAAGTCAAGGCGTTTGATCTTGACCATGGCGGCGCTACGTCAACTAAAACTATGATCAATTACGGTTCTATTGATCGGAAGTTACGCCATGACGTACCTACGCACCTATCTAGAGGTATTGAGTGAATATTGTTGCTATTGATAACGTATTAGACTTATATTTATTTGGAAATTCTTATAATCATATTGGGTCTTTTTTGGGTCACAACGTGCATTGCTCAAACGACCACGCCCCTTGCACAGTGGGCCAGTGGAGTACTGAAAATTCAATTGACGATTGATCCCAAAAGACCTCAAGACTGACTCGTAATTTGAGCGATGAGATATATGTATCTATATATGTATATATATATATGGGAATATGTATAGTCGTTTCTGTGTTGTCTGGGGTCTAGGTCTACGATTATACGTACACACATGGTACACACATTGATTAAATGACAATAAATTACATTTAAATGAATATGGATCACAATTATCGACAGTATCACTCATCATCCACATAAGCACCGGGACTAGAGGAAATTTTTCATTTTTTTAAGTATTACCCATAAAAAATTTAAGAAATTTTGATCTCTTGATAACCAAAATAAATATAAATAAAAATAAATAGATAGTAAATATATTAAGAAATTTAATTTTAACTTTCTTAGCTATTTTCTAAACATTTATCAG